GAAAAAATGTTTACAAGTCACATACATGACGGGATTTGTACTTGACATAGAGAACTCACACAGTACAGTAAGGCAGAACTCTTCTCAGATGGACAGAGGAGACAGGCAATGCCAGGGAGCCCATAAAAAGACCCTCAGCATCATTAGCCAGTAGGAAAATACAAATCAAAACCAAAGCAGGGTCCCCCTCCATACCCACTAGGAAGGTCGTAGTCAGCAAGGGATGATAACAAGCAGTCGGGAAGCTGGAGAGAAACATGGACACTCACATCCTGCTGATGGGGATGGGAAATGGTTGGAGCCTGGCAGTGCCTCAGAGGATTAGATACAAGGTTACCAGCAGTTAATTTCACCCCCAGATCCACCCACAAGAGAAGGAAAAAGATGTGTTTGAACAGAAACTAGTACATGAATATTTATAGTAGTGTTATTAGTAATAGCCAAGAGGCAGAAATAATCCCCCTGTCCATCAACTGATGGCCAGATAAACAGAGCATAGTATATACATACATACAGTGGAATATTATTCAGCCACAAAAAGGAGTAAAGAAGTACAGCGTGCTACAGTATGGGCAACCCTTAAAACATTCTGCTCCATGAAATACACTAGTCACAAGGGAGCGCGTGCTGTATGACTCCATCTCTGTGAACTGTTCAGGATGGGCAGAAGCTGTAGAGACAGAGGAGACTAGTGGTTGCCTGGGGCTGGGCCATGAAAGGTATGGGGTGATGGCTGAGAGATAAGGGGTTTCTTTGGAGGGTAATGAAAAATTCTGAAATCGATTGTGGCAGTGAGTGTACAACTCTGGAGTGTAAGTTGTTGAATTGTCTTCATTAAACAAGTGCATTGCATATGTGAATTGTCTCAATAAGACTATTTTTAAAAGATAACAACTGAATAGGAAAACGAAAGGTCATCCACACACTGCACAGAAGAAACACCGTGGATCCTTGAAAGGATGCTCAGCCTCAGCTGAGTCAGAAAAATGCTACTTAAAAGCACAGTGGGATTTTCCAAAATTATACCCTCAGGCACTTGGGGGAGTGGTGGCGGTAGTTAGAGAAGTGAGAAGGGCAGCATTTGTGACCCAGCAGGTCCCCTGCCAAGTGTGCACCCAAAGGGTCCTTCCAGCTGTGTTCCCAGGGGGCCTCAAAAACAGTCATAGGAACACCATAAAATGCCAAACATAAACGCTGTTATTTACGTGTGTGACTATATGTGGTAATTTATGTATATCTAAAATGTACTGATTAAATCTGACTTTAAAATGAAATGTTTTTAAGAATGTAAACGAGCAGAGGATAACACAAAATTCAGCACAGTGGGGATGGGAGAGAACTGGCAGGACCTGACAGTCTCTGGGGAGTGATGATCCTGGGTGTCCAGGTGTGTAGGGGGCAGATGGGGAGCCGGAGAGGTCAAAGGCACAAACATCATCTGACAACCCTGCATTGGGAGATTTAGAAAACCTCAAGCATACATGGAACTATTTTTCTATGCAGTTCAAAAATGCTAATGCCAAAAAAATGCTAATGCTGATAGGAGTTTGTAGAAAAGATGGACATGTTTACCATCATCTGCATATATGAAAAGCAAGAGAGATTTTTTTTAAAGTGGGGTCTTACTAGCCTCAGAGTTTCTCCTGCCTCATCCTCTCAGTAGCTAGGACTATAGGTCTGTGCCAGCAGGCCCTGCAAAAAAGGAGTACGACACTTTGATTCTGCCAGGCATCGTGGTAAACTCCTGTGATCTCAGCTACTTGAGAGGCTGAGGCAAGAGGATCCTTTAGCTCAGGAATCCAAGACCTGCTTGGACAACACAGAGAGATGAGTCCCTATTTCTAAAATCAATAGAAAAAAAAAAGCAGAACATAAATGTTTTAATTTCCAGCAAAAGTGGTTAAAATTAAGTTTTGTGCTTCAAGACAAAGTTCATTTGTTGGGACCACCGCTTGTTCATTCTCCAGTGGCGCTAAATAAAGCAGACCCTGCTGTGAAGCAGTGAACCCCTGGTCCTCCTCTCCGTCACTCAGAGGGTCCCTTTCTCTTTTCCAGATCACACTCACACTGACAGATGAGCCAGGCGCGGAGGAAGAGCCCACTCGCCGCTGCCCATGGATGATTGAGGAACCCTCGCCAGCCCTAGGGGGCAGGGCACAGTATTTTTTCTTTTTCTGCCTCAGAGTCTCCAAAAGCAGAAGTGGCAGAGAATGGTTGCCATCAGCCAAGCCAAACTTCTACTGAGACAACAGGAAAACCGATCCTCTGGCTTTGGAAGGAACCTGCCAGCTGATGCATTTCTCCCCTGGCCGGTTCGCGGATCTTTACCTTCCCCCCTGCCCCAGCCTTCCTAGGTCTCTCTGTCCCTTTCCTGCGCCGCACAGAGATGATATAAAAGAGGCTCTTTGACTATTTGCATTGTGCTTTCTCTTCTTTTCCAGATTGCAGTATTAAGTTTTCTTTGCACAAGCTTTAAATTCCTCCCTGCACCCCCCACCATAGTTCTTCCCTCTCTAAGGGGCCCGTGGGGAGGGGCACGGGTCACCGGTCCCCAGAGCAGGAGGCACCCCGGCTGCTGACAGAAGCCAGGGTAATTACTGATTTCTAAGATGAATAAAGTCATTCTATTTTTATTTTTTTTTTCTTATTTTACTTATTTCCCAAACATCAGTATTCACAAGGCACAACTTTTCATGTGATTTCATTCCTGAACAACTTTTTAAACTGCGTTTTAGAAATGTGAGTTACCAAGAGGTGGTGTTTAGGCACATGATGCCGCAGCTGCCACACCTGGAAAGGCTGCGCCCGCCCGTGGCAGGGTTCTCCAGGCAATAGGGTCCTGTAGTGCTCCTGAGTGTGTCTGGCCAGGTGGGGGTCACCTGCCTCAACAGTCCACCATGCAGACCACGCAGCACAGCCCGACTGTCCCCACCTGACTGCGTTCCTGCTTCCCACCTTTCCTGGTTTTCTGCAGGAGAAAAGGTTGGTTGCAAGCAGGGCCCAGAGCCCACAGGACTAACTGAGCTCCTCTGGGAGGCTGAAGGTTCTGTGTACTCAGCATTGAAACCCAAAGAGAAAGATGTTACCCAAAAAGACAGAAAGGGATTTTATTGCCTTCTTAGTGAAGAAAGACCAAGCGAATGCTGGAGCACTGTTTGCCTGTCTGGGTTGGAGAAAAAACAGAATAGATTCCGTGTGTTTCTGGGAGTTCTAGGTAAGGTCTGAGGACCATCTTAACTACAGGGCTGTGGGTCGGTTAGAAGACAAATTCCTCCTCCGAGTTCCCTATTGGCATGGAATACTGGGAAATAACTCAGTTGTTGGAGGAACTTAACATATGACTCTTGTGAAAGGGTTAAGAGATAAAACTGGTAACAGAACTGAAAGCAACCGCAGTGCTTGGAATTGTCCAGGGTAAACAATCAGAACTAAATCCTCAGGCTGAATTCTTTTTTTTTTTTTTTTTTTTAATCGGTACCAAGGATTGAACTCGCTCGCGACTGCCTGCTTGCAAGGCAGGCACTTATGCCACTGAGCTATATCCCCAGCCCCTCAGGCTGATTTCTTACGCTCTTCACTGTGTACCAAGCAGATCTCTCTCTCCATGTCCCCCTCCCTTCCCACAAAACCAGTGTGGGTGTTTTGAAGACAGATGGAATGATTCACGTGTCTGGTGCCGTAAGTGATATATGGACCGGGGAGGCTGCCGCCCAGATTTGTATCCACTGCTTTTAATGCAGGAGTACCATGCTCACATAAAAACATTTGGCGCTACCATGTGTCCTGTTTTCTCTGGGATATTTCAACAAACATATGTAGCTGCCTTAGTTCATCAAGATGAACCACAGACCAATGTTTTAGTGATGTCTTACAAGGTTCAATAAAAAGGGAGATGTAATCTAAAGCCAGAAAGATTATTTTCCTCTTCCTTATTGAAGAGGAAAGGACCAGTAACATCAGATGTAATATGCTACTTCCCAAAATGCAGTTCTTCGGCAACCTGGATCCTGCCCCAGTCTGAAACAGCTCTAGAGCTGACATAGACTGTGACACTTGGGATAGTCTATGGCTCACTCTGATCCCACAGCCAGGATTTTAGGGACAGGGGACATATCCCCAGAAGAACAGTGAAAATAAATGGGCACCCACAGAATGAAAACAAAGAGAAGCCTTCAGAGTTGGCTGGGTTGTGAGCAGAGCAAGGAAGAATGTCTTGGTGACCAAACTCGGGAGTTCAGTCTTGAAGAACTCCAGGAAGAGCAGGTGCTCCCATACTTGATCTCACAGAGGCATGAGCATCTCCTGCACATCCTTCAAACCGCAAACTGTAGCTTCAGACAGACCTCTTCACCAGTGCTAGCGTGAGTCACTGAGGCAGGTGGCTCACGGGAGCTGCTAGATGGTTTCTCACGCTCCCTCGCTGTGGATGGCTGCTTCAGGTGCACAGTAATGTCACAGCAGAATTCTGCATCCCTCTGGGATCCACGACCTCATAGAGAATATGGGTTTGTGTTTTTCCCTAGGGCACCACTAGCAATGAGTCTTGAGTTCCTGATTAGGGCAGGTTTAGGATTAACCTGCTAACAGAGTTAGCCTCATATTCTGAAATCACTTGCCATAGATTTTCTAGTGCTCAACTGACTTGGGGCTGAGATGAGATTTCCAAAACTGAGGGTGGTCATTCAGATTTCATATACAAACCACATTTCCATACGCCAAGGTTCATATGCCACCGTGATCTGGAGGCCAAATTCACATGCCGTCTACACATCAGCCACTGCTTCTGTGTGCCTGAGAGTAATACATTGTGGGAGGAAAGGCACACAGTGCAGACTCCCTGGGCAGAAGGGTGCACAGTGCCCACCGGCCTGCGCATTCACCCGAAGCATGTGTTTGACATTTGGTGGATTCTCTGTGTCAGATTTCAGTGGTTTCTTATTAGTAGATGCTGATACGGAATTAAGAAAAGAGCAAGTTAAGGATATAGTCAGACATGCATCTTAGAGTAAGGCTTTTACTGTTCTAGAAATGGTCTTCCAGAAGATGAAATCATCCATGATTCCCCAAAAATATTTATTTATACAAAGATTTTGAGAGTAATATTTGTACTTATACCTCAGTCTCCATGCCTGGGGCCAAGTCATCATGGGGCACACGTGCAGTCCCCCCACCCAGTACCTCATGTAGCACCTGCTTCCAGGAACACCAAATGAATGCAGGGTCTTGGGGGGTAGATGGGGAGGAGCCCCTGATGTCTTGAGGCTGCATGGGCCAAAATCCTGATGTGCACATCCTGACCTGGAAGGTGTCTAGCCAGATGTCCCAGGCAAAATGTGATCATGAAGAAGGCAAGAGGGACCCAGAGGGCAAACAGGAGAGGGTTAATTCCCACCCTTGGCTTCTGCATGGGGCCCAACATAGGTACTACACCAGGAACTACATTACATTTCTGGAAAAGACCCATGATGTTGATTGATGTAGAGGGGACAGGTTGCAAAAATAACAAATTTGTCCTTAATCCCAGGTAGTGCAAAATACAACTCTGGGACTTTGTCTTGGTAACCTATCTGAAGAAAAACACTTGCCTTGTATGATGTCATCCTGGTTCCCTAAGGCAGATGTGGCCCAGCAATACACAAAGCTGCCCTCAGATCCGAAGTGTCTTCCAGCCTGGCCCTGATAAGAGCCATACTCCGCCCTTCCTCCTCCCCATGGTAGCCCAAGTCCCATTGCCACACAACATGTCAATTGCCATCCCTCTTCCTCAATCCCCACCACCTCTGTCTGCACCACAGAAAAATCTGTGTTCTGAAGAGTTCACTTTCCCCCACCAACCCACACTTGCTTTACCACAGTGATTCTCAGAGCCAGCAAGAAAGGGAAATGTTCCAGAAGGAAGCCTCCATCTCAGCCATGCTGGGAGCCAAGGATTGAAGGTCCCAGGCCTCTAAATTTGGTCTGTCACATTGGCTTCCCGAGGAGCGGTCAGTTGCATGGTGGCGGTTCTCCCTTCTCTGTCGCACACAGGCCTCAGCTACACTTACATGACTTCACCACCATGTTGGAGAGTTGCTCCACCTTTGGGGTCCTCCCGACATAGTACAGAATGGTCAGGGGCTCCAAGTCCTGGGGCACGCAGCAAGGTGAGGCACTCGCTTCCGGATTCAGGGTGTTATACAGTCCCAGCACCTGGGGCAGAGCACACAGGATTAGAGGTGGAGAGCCAAGCTCCAGCCTGCAGTCAAGGAGCACTGCAAGTCTGGAGGCTGCTCAGAGACTAAGTGGGCAGGAGAAAAGAGGCGGGTTGTGTTCATGCACTACAGCAGGATACATGACATGTATACTTGTTTGAGCATCTACAGTTTTCAACTGATGAGGAAAACGTTGGCTGCTAAGAAAACACTGGTACTGGGCTTCCTTGCTATAATTGAACTCTTTGGTGAAAAAATACGCTCACTATGCATGGCATTGGGCCATTTAGAAAGTGTAGGGTCCCCAATGGGAGGCAGTGCTAAAGAACATAAGGAAATATGCCCTCCACTCCCTTGCAGCAAAACACACTCTCTTCTCAGTGAAGCATATTAGCTGCTCTTACGTCCTGTACGATGTCTCTCAGGACAACTTTTGTGCATTCAAGAGACTGCAGTTCTCTGGCTTCCTTAACTAGTGGTGGAATCTTTCTACCCGCACTGTCTTGCCAACCAGGTGAACACATCTCTGACATAGGGTGCCATGTGACAGGTAATGAACTTCCATTTGTTTTTAAAAAAGCAAATAAAAAGTCAGCTCGAAACCATGATAGGAATTTTTTCGCAGTGCCAAGGATCATACACAGGATCTTGTACTTGCTAAGCATGAGTTCTACCCCCACCCTCTGTGGTAGGAACTTTAAAGGACAGGATGTGACCTGGTTCTAACCAGGGTGCCAAAGTCAGCACCTTATTATTTGAAGGATTTTTACAAAGCCCTGTGTACCACACTTACTCAACATTCAATCCTTCATTCTGTTTAACAAGTGGCCCGGTCAGTTCCGCCGGGGTACCCAGAAGCCATGTGCCCCACTCCTTACCGTGCTGTGAGTCGTGTCTGCGCTGCGGAGGTACGGGCAGGGGCCTGAGCAGAAGTTGGCATAGTAGCCCTTAGGTTCGTGGACCCATTTCCAGCCCAGATCCTGTCGGAAGTCAATGTAGAGGGGGCGCACACAGCAGTTCTCCTCCAGGTTGCTACAATGAAAAGCATTTATAGGAAATCAGCCTAAAAAGAAACCACCAATAAATGAGACCTCACAAGTGCCTTCAGATTTCCCCTTGGAACCCTCCCATGCCACCGCAGAAGGTGGCCCTCATCAGCACAAGCTCGGATTCAGGTGCCCCCAGGGAGCTGAAGAGACTAGAAGACATTTTCTTGAGTTAAACATGAGTATCCCAAGGATATGACAGAAGTGCTGCATGGAAGGGAATTAAGAGTAAAGATGCCCTGGCTCCTTTTACATCATAAACCAACATGGAGACACAAAGTGCTCCACATAGCCAACCAGAAGAGATCTAAACTTAGGAGCCTGCATACATTTGACCGCTCAGACTAAATCCTGAGGCCATGTAGCTAAAACAAGGCATAGCCTTCTATTAGAAGCACCAGGTCACTCAGATTAGGCCCTCAGGCCTCACTGCTGCCTGCAGAAATCCATCTGCAATATCCATTGCCCAGTGGGCATCTTAGCCTCTGCCTTAGTAGGTCTCTGCCAAGACCTAGAGGTTGCTGCTTCCAAAGGCAGCTACCCATATGGCCCATACGTGGCTTCTTTCAGGTTCTAAGAGAACCATGGTTCTAAGAGACCATCTGCAGGTTTCTATTTAGTAATCACTCCTATTTCCCTTCTCCCTTGCTGCCTTCCATAAGAGTCTGAACACCAAATACTCATCTTCCTGGCCTCCCGTGCAGGCAAGGATGCCCATGTAACCGAACCATGATTGATCTCAGACATAGGCAAAGTATGCAAGGGGTGAGGGCACGTTCTGGCAATGTTTTTATCATTTATAAAAATAACATACACAAGAAGGAAGGAAGATGGCTGGCTCTTCCCCTTCCCTCCTTCTTGTCTTAAATAGGGACAAGATACCTGAAGCTCTACCAATCACTTAGGATGAAAAGCCTATGTACCAATCATGGCAGACTGGAAAGCGGAAAGCCTGGGACCTTGATGGCATAGTTAAGGATACAGACCAATTCTGAGCCTGCTGTCACAAGCCTCTCATGGCAAAGAAACTCGCTGTGGTTGAAGTCACCATTGCTTGCAGCCAAGAGCATTCATTCCTCACAGATTCTCAGAGCAGATCTCCATGCTCTGAGACATCTTTCAGACAGCTGATGGCAACCACACTGCATCCCCCTACCTTCTCTTCTCTAAGCTCAACGTCCCTATTAAGTTGTTCTTTATAGGATGTAGTTTCCAGGTTTAAACTGCCCCCAGTTCATATCATCACCATCCAAGCTGACCTCTCCTTTACCAGAAGTTTCCTCCTCCCAGATCCCTACATGCCCACATCTCACCATCTTCAGAGGCTCTGCTCAAAGTACCCCTTTCTTATATCCATAGTGAACTCCTTGCTCCCAGTTCTTAAAACCCATTATCCCATTGACCCTCTCCTAGATGTAATCAGTTTCTACTTTGCACTATTTGATATGCAGGCCTTTTCATCCCTCCCTTGTATATGAGCAGTTCCGCTCCTAAAGAAGAGAAGCTGTATCTTCCCAATCTCCGTGTATTTGTTTGTTTGTTAATTTCTCTTCAGATTTCCTCCATAAATGGAAGCTGTGCAACACCCCCTCCCCATTTAGGAGTATCCTTGAAGTCTTTGTAGGGAACTGAGCACTTCTTCAGTGGAAACTCCTACATTAACCTCTCCCTGACACAAACACATCCTACAGGTACTTAAAACACGAACAATATGGAGACCTCAGCCAAGCATCCTCAATCGGAACTACAACAGTCTACACCTAGACTTTCCCTCCTCTACTTCATCCAGGCCCTTACAGAAGTGGGCTGCAGAAAAACAGGAAGAAGTTTGTAACAGATTTCCAATCTTCTTTCCTGAAGAATTTTCTGAACAGTCTCAGGGACCTGCAACGAGGTGCAGCTTAAGTGTGGGGCCTATGCACAGGAGGCTCACGGTAGCTCTTGGTTCCCAAGGGCCCAGGCTCACCGGAAGCAGTAGTTGGTGTCCAGGGCCCGCTTCTTTCTCTGACCCCCTTGGCCAGGGTTGTCAAGCCGGTGCGGGGGAATCATCATCAGGATTAGGTGGGGGTTGTGGTGATCCTTCTGCTTCTTGAGGCGTCCCAGGTCTCCACGGCCATGGTCATCCTCATTGTCCACCCCTGCAGAAGGGCGGAAGGCAACAACCTCATGTTTAAGGAAAACAGCACTTCTCATCCCGGTCCATCCCAGGAGCAGGGGAAGCACGGTCTGCCAGGAAGGAACAGTGGGGTGGGGGTGCACCTTGATTCTAACATCCGCCTGCAAGACAGGAAGACTGGGTAGAGGACTCAGTAATAGTGGAACACAGCAATCACCATAAAGATGCCATGCAAAATATCCATGTTCAGATCCCTTCATGACTTCTGTATAAGGCTTTTTCAAAGACAGAAGACAGAAAGACAGAACATCTTTTCCAAGATGCTTTCTAGGAGTCCTCACGGAGCTATGGAGCATCCCTCTCACCTAGGCAGGCACCTAACACACACCTTTGGGGTCTCAGTTCAGATTCTGTGACTTACAAGCTCAGGGTGTGAGTTTTCTCTTATAATCAGAATTAGACAATATAGTCATAACCAACTCATCATTTAAGGCAACACAATTTATGACGGCCTGAATAGAAACCAGAAAAACAGGACTTTGAACAACTCTTAACATTTCCACTGCTTAAATTCCAGAAGAGTTTTCATTATAAAGTTCAGATGAGATAATAACATTGTGATAAACAGCAAACAAGCTCTGGGAAGAAAACAACTCCATTTGAACTTATTTCATCTAAAAAGATGGCAAACTAACTGAGAAAGAGTCTCAACTAATGGGAGATCCAGTTTGTGAGGGACAGTGGCCAGCTACTGGCCATCGTGACTGGGGCAAGAACCTGAAAAGTAAAATTTACTTAGCGCCAGGGGGCCTTGGATCTCAGAAAGAGCACTTAGTCTGGAAGGTAACGGAAGAGCTGGATTTCAAGTTCCCTTTCCTGAATGTCTTTAAGAATCAGGGAAGAGTTTACAACAGTGGGAAGGTTTCCACTTAACCTGGCCCAGAGGTGAGGACTCTGGAGTTCTGTGCTCAAAGTGAGTTTTAACTTTATTTTTTTATTAATACATATTTGTCATACACATTGATCACATTCATCATAGGGAATTTGAACCTGTATATAAAATGTCTTAATTCATTTTCTGTCCATCCTCTCGCTCCCTAAACCCTTCTTCCCCTCCCCATTTGCAAAAGCTTTGTTGGTTCCGTTTTTTCCTTCCATTCTTTTTTTTCCTTTTCCCCTCTTTCCAACCACCCGCCCCGCTCTCTTGCTCCCCTTCCCATTTGAACGTGTTCTTCCTCCTTCTCAGTATCCGTCCTCCATTAAGCTCTTTATTTACCCTTTGGGATCTTCATACAAGAGAAACAAGACAGTATTTAAACTTATGTCAAATTTATTTCATTTAAGATTATGGTCGCAAGGTGCCTCCATTTTCCCACAAATGACTCAAATTTATCCTTATGGCAGAGCAGTGCTCAACTATATATAAAATACCACATTTTCTTTATCCATTTACCTTTTGATGGGCAAATGGGCTGTTTCCAAGATTTAGCTACTATAAATTGTGCTGCTATAATCATGGGTGTGCATAAATCACTGTGGTATGATGCTTTTAACTCATTTGGGAAGATATCTAGAAGGAGAACAGCTAGGTCTAATGGAACCTCTAATTTTAGTTTTTTGAGGAGTCCTGAGACTGATTTCCACAGTGGTTTCACCAACTTATACTCCCACCAACAGTGGAGAAGGGTTCCTTTTCCTCCTCAGCCTCACCAGTGATTATTGTTGATTTTTTGATGACAGCCATCCTGTCAGGAGTGAGATAGAATCTCAGTGTTGCTATAATTTGCATTTCTCAAATGTGTGCTCAAAGATTTTTGTAATTAAGATGTTATATCCACAGCTAATAACAACAGTAATAATAACGGCCCTGAAACTGAGCCCATGCCAGTAAAGAGGACTGCATAAGTCCAAGAACCAAGGTAGGACAGATTATTCCTTTTCCCAGATAAGTCTCTGCTACCAGTAACTCTTGGTTACCCAGAAGGAGAGAGAAAAAGAGAACCTCCATGTTCCCCAGAGGTTGTCAAGACTAACTTTGTATTGGGAACACAGAAATGACTCTCAATGGTCTTCACCATCTCTACACAGACACCTCGGGTCAAACGTCCTAAGCTCCAAAGCAATCATCAAACCCAGACAATGCCTAAGGGAGGTCCAGGAGGGCCCAACAACATCTAGAAGGCTCCATAGTCAGGACACTCGTGTTGAGGGTCATCAGAGTTAGTTTTTCGGGAGGAGGAATACAACTCTTAGGTGTTGAGCGTTTCAGGTGCTGTGATCGCGTTTACTTTCATCCTCATTTCGCTGGGCTCTGAATAGCTGACCTTGTGATTTCACTTTCTCATGCAGTCTTCCAGATGCCAGAGAGGGCAACCCATTAGGGACCCCTTCTGTCTCTCAGACAGAAGCTTTCTTTTTCTCAGTAAATATGTTCTGCTCTTAACCTCTATTGTTCTTAAAATTCATTCTTCGAATTTAGCAAACACGAACTCGAACTCGTACTGGACATCTAGAAGGTTGGGAGTTTTATTCCCTTATATCAGTTGGAGATCTTCCACTGAGTTCATCGGATGGAGGTAGGAGTTTGCTTTTGTTTCATAGACTCAGATGCCAGAGAATACAATAGTATTCTTTTTTTTTTTTTTTTTTTCTTTTTATCGGTACCGGGGATCGAACTCACGACCGCCTGCTGGCAAGGCAGGTGCTTATGCCGCTGAGCTAAATCCCCAGCCCCTAATAGTATTCTTTATAGAATGCAAGTTATGCTCATTGTTTTGACCCAAAGCAGAATTATTCAAGTACAAAATAGCTTTCACAGGGAAGGAGCCAGTAGGAGACTTCTGTTCTGCCCTGTCCCGTTAACCCCTTCCCAGTCCTACCAAGCACATTTTTTTTTTACCTTTAAATTTGATTTCCATCACCTCTTGAATGTTTTCCAGGATATCTCCATTGGGCTGAAAGGTGTGACATGGACAGTGAATGCTGATTTCCAGACCTAAGTTGGACTCTGCAAAACAGAACCGAGTGTTGATGAGAGGAGCATGTTGCGTGATGGGATAGATCGCCGTCACCCTGCTCCCCTGGCCACTGAGTTATCCTGAGGCTTACAGAGGACAGAAAGTGCTTCCAAAGCCCAGAGTGAAGCTCCAGACACATGTTCCCACATTCCACAGATCTCTGTCACATTATGAACAAGCAAACGAGGGTGTACATTGTGGGCATCATGATGGAAATAGTCATCCATTCCTAAAGGATGAATTAAGAGAAAATTGGAGCTCACCTACTCAAGGACAAAAGGACAAGAAACAGGAAGGGGGGGAAATACTGCAACTGTTGGTTGGGAGAGGAGACATTTAACCCAACCTGCTGAAGAAAGTGAGGGGAAGAGCCAGGGACCCAGGGACTAGGGAAGGGGAGTAACGGAAGAACTTCCGAACAGAGGAAAAGTGACCTAAGGTCACAGATTCAAGGGCCATACAATGAAAGGCTCAGGAATCAATGCTAGAGGCAAAGTCGCCCACAAATAAGAAGCAGAATCAACCTAAATGGAATTACCCAGTGTTTCTTTCAGGGCTATGATTATGGGTATAGAAAAGTGGTTAAGATGAATGTTACGGTTGTGCTTGGCCATACTGTCCCTTAGGAACAAGGATTTAATTAGGTAAAAGTTACTTGGAGGTTTCTGCTCTGAAAATCTTTGTTCCCCATAATGGGGAACAAAGGACTGTGGGCTGTGGATGGTTCACCAAGATGAACAGTTTGGAAAGACAGCTGCAAAATTAGAGAAGAGGCCAAAGACAATGACAGAGAGCCATGGCCAAAGACTTAGATGATGTGACCTCAGAGGGAACGAGCATGAGGAACCCCAGAGGTACCAGGATTTGGTGACTGACATTCCAGTGCAAAAAGGCCAACTCCAGCCCTTTTTCTGTGGGATCGTGTGTTTTGGCAACTAAAATCAACAAAAGCAGGGAAACTGGTAAAGAGGCTTAGGTGAAGTGAAAGGAAAAATAAGAAGTACATGGAAAGTTTGCAATGAATCAGGTAGTTTTGTGCAGAGAAAATTAGGCAGGATCTGTGTCTGTTGGTTCTGGTGCCTGAGACTCATTAGGGCAGCTCTGTTGAACCTGGGGTAGCAGCAAGCTGTGGCCAGGTATGGAAGGCACTTCTGCTTCAGTGTTAGCATCACAGCAAACAGACTTACTGCTCCCTGTGGCCACCCTAGCTGTGTGTGATCATCTGGCTTTGGAGCCAAATTGGACTCTTCATGAAATCTAGTATCATCAGGGAAAATCCCACAGTGCAGCCTGGCTCAGAATGATACAGGCTCAATAATTCCAGGCACCCTTAGGCGCTCCTGGCCATCCCAGTCCTACTGGTCAACAAACTCCAAAGCCTAACCAAATATGTTCTGCCCTGCTTCAAGTAACTTCTGGGACACACTGATTAAGCTTAAAGATCTCTATTCCAGAAGGTTAGCCCAGTTAGGGGGAAGGAAGTTAATACAACAAGAGCCCTAGCTACAGAGAAGCAGAAATGTCTTCATTCTGCCTAAAGGAAGCTGGACAAAGGAACCAGAGTAGCTGACATGGGCTACAAAACCACACAATGCACTTTCTTTTCAAGGTGAGTCAAGATGCACTGGGAGGGACTCAGGAAGGAGGGAGTTCTATGAATCGCTGAGTTAGAAATCCAAAGTGCACACAGATGTGTTGGGAGAATAGGGGGCAAGGTACAGATGGTCAGCTGGAGATGATGGCTTGACCAATAGACTCTATCTAGGTAGAGGACTTGGAGATGATAGCAACAAGGGCCGCCATCTGTTAAGTACCACTGCCTATCAAACACTCTGTAAGACTTTACAGGCATTAACGGAATCTCTACAATAATCCCACAAAGTGAAAACTATTGTATAGATGAGGACACAGAGAGAAATTAAATAAGCTGCCCAAGGTCTCCAAACAGTAAGGAGTAGTTCCAGGATTGAAATACAGCCTGATGCCAGATCCCACACTCTTACTTGTTAGAGACAAGGAGGGGCACAGGAAGGTAACAAGAAGCACCAACGAAGATGCCCGCACATTCACCAGCATGCAAAACGGTTATGCTTTCTTTGTGTCCCATCTGTCCTAAGCCATGGTACTCAGCAGGTTTTTGCTCAGCCTGCCTCTGCATGCTGGGAAGCTGCAGATGTAGAAGCACAAGGGTCTGAGGACCCAAGTCCTCCATCGTAGAGAATTCCTTCCAGAATGCAGCTTGGGTACCTGGTAACACATGGACTCTCAGATGGGACTAAGTTCCTTACTAATCTGTACCACAGTGGCTCCAATTTAGAGTCCATTTGCAACCTGATTAGGAGACTCAACACACTCCATGAGGAAAGGCCTGTGCTATGATTCAGGGGATGGATGGGAGAGGGGGAGTGGGGGAAGAATTGCCTAAGTGGGGACTGGATGTTCCAATGAAGAACGAACCTCAAAACTGGCAGCAGTACGGATGATGGGTGGAGGACCCATAGGTTTTATTACAAAATTATCTTTTTTGATGTCTCAAGAAAGTTAGAAATCATTCTCAATGCAAAGTTCTCATTGAGCTCTGCAGCTGTGAAAATAAGAACTCCAAGTGCCCAGGGCTTCAAAGAAATCCAGGTGGAGATGATCAAAATCAGACAGGGAAGCAAAGGGATTAATTTTCCCAGCCCCGCCTTCCCGCAGCCATGCCAGCTCTGAGCGGAGCGCTGCCTGAGTCAGAGCTCCCAACGGTGCTGCTGTCAGCAGAGCAGTGTGGCTTCTCCCAGGCTTTGCTCCACGCTCAGTAAAAGGACAGGGCCAGGATCTCCAGCCTATCATCTTAGCTGCCATATAAGGCCCCTTCGATGGGGCTTGCAAACTCGAATGCCTACAGAGTCCAAGTAGGTCATGTGAACGAACAAACTGTGCCCCAACAATGCTAAACAGAACCAGGCAGCCTGTCTTTGGGGGACTCCTAGGAACAGCAGGGACCGTGGGCATAAATAACACACACTCCATTTCCAAGCGTGCCCATGACTCATTACAAGGAGGTCTTCCAGTGTCTCAAGAAATAAGTCCATGCTTTATGTGAAGTCTTCTAATTAAAAAAAAAATGTTTACCATTAGTTAAATTTAAAACACTATGTAGGCCAAGTGGTTTGTGATGTCTGCCCTTGAGCTATAATTCCTAGTTTCCTAAACCCTCAAGGATATGGAAGGGTTACCTGCCTCAGAGACTCTGGACACTCCTATGTGGATGGACTGTGGTTTGATAGCAGCTGCTGATAATAGAAAACACTTCATAAGATGGAGAGAAGGGACACATGAGACCACCATATGTGACACCCGCCATGAGCACTTACACCAAGCAATGCCAGCCACGTATGACATCATGAGACCAAGAACTCAGGTTCTTGTCCAGGGTGGTGACCTTGGTCAGTTCACCTAACTGCATCTTATCAGACATCACTTATGCTTCCTTATCAGACAAAAGAATGACACATTTACTCTTATAAAACATGTTGAAAGCCATGAAGTTCTCTCAGATATACTTGATCCTTTTAAGAGCTCTGGGAGGTTTTCACGGGTAGGACCATTACCTGTTTTCCAGCTAAGAAGACAAAGTGAGTGGGTAAGATATTTGGGACATGCATATTTATTTATTTTTGACAGCACCAGGGACAGAACCCAGGGCCTCTACCACTGAACTACTTCCCATCTTTTTTATTTTTATTTTTTTAAGTTTGAGAAGGCTCTTGCTAAGCTGTCTAGGCTAGATTAGAATTTATAATCCTTCTGCCTCAGTTTCCCAAGTAGCTGGGATCACAGGTGTGCCATGGTGCCCAGATAGGTCATGTGAAATTTGATATACTTCTTGGATGGTTTTAGGTGGATGATTCCAATAGCTTCCCAACTTGACTGGCCAAAACAGAACATTATTCTCCCCTTCTCCCTATTCTAACCCATAATATACCTGAAAGCTCAACCCAAAAATTTGGAAGTCTGCTCTCATGTTTCATACGCCTCACCTAATCAAACTGCTCCATGGGCTCTACCTCCAAAATACAGAACAAACTCCAGTGATCACCATATCCACTGCTACTGTTCTAAGTCTAAGCCTCTGCTGTTTGCATTTGTGCTGCTATACTGGTCCCTACCTGGTTTTCCTGTCTCGTCCCCTTGACCTCATGGCAACCGGATGAATCTTTTAAAGGTGTCCACCAAATCATCTCACCCACAACCCAGTTCTGCTTATGTATTCCCTAACTTCTCGCCACGCTTGGAGAAGATGCTAAGGCCTTGCCATGGCCTGACAAGTCCTAAAGCATATGGGCCCAGATCACTATGCTTCAGTGTACCAGTCTGCCTGCAGCTGCTGTAACAAATCAAGCTGCTTTTCCCACACACCTGGGCTTCACTCTTTCCTTTGCTTAGGATGTCCTTTATCCTGACCTTCAACTTGACCTCCAAAAGCAAGCTCCTTCTTATCACTCAGACCTCAGCACAGGAATTTCCTCCCTTGTAGAGACCTTCTCTGAGCACCCAACATTTGATCCAACCAGCCTTCATCACATTATGCTTTATTTTCTCATTGCACTGATCTTTGTCTGAGATCCAATGACATGTTTACTTGTTCATTACATGCCTCTCCCAATGAATGGGGCTTCACCTGTCTTCTTCACTGCTGAATCCCCACAGCCTGACTGAGAACAAGCGTTATCAGTCAAGTGAATGAATAGAGAATATAACAGAGACTTTGAGCTGTGACTCGCCTAATTACACCCTCTTCCCTCTCATGAAGGACAAAGGGCCCGACTTTCCTTCCCAAATGCTCATTCCAAGGGTCCACCTACCTCTTCGCAACAGCCACTCGCGCACAGTATCAGTGACATCAAAAGACAGCCACTCGGCAGTGCCCCGCGTGGGCAGATTCTTGCCCCCAATATAGCGCTGTTTGGCGATGTGCTCATCTGGCCGGAGAATCTACAGGGCAGACAATGCAGTGAGTATGGAGGTCAGGGCACAGCATAGGTTACAGGACAGCTCGAAAGGCAGGGTGACAGGTTGGCAGAGCAGAGGGAAGGAAAGGCTCTGAATGTCATAACCTTCACACATCTTTGACAATTCTCCATCCTCTAAATGACAGCCAGCTATGGAAACTCAGATAAGGCTCATTGAAGGCAGGATTCAAGCCCAGTCTGCCAAGCTGCCTGCCCAGCGGAGGCTGGGATTGGTGAAGGAGCTGGCTTCCAGCCTGTGTGCTCTGTCCTGGGAGGGGTACCTGGAAGAGCTCGATCCTCTGCTCAGTGCGCTTGGAGCTGGGGTTGGGCACCCGCAAGACCCGGAATTCTGCCCGGAACAGGTTGGTTCTATTTTTCTCCACCGAGGACACGTTGAAGCGGAAAATCTTGGAGGTAATTCCTTTGGGGCAGACGGCCAGCTCATCTAGGGTACAAAGAAGTGGGAGAGGTACAGTGGGAGTAAGAACCACAGGAACACGCTGCCAACAGACACGTACCAGGTGGCTGGGGTCCCAGCTGTGACCTCCCTAGGTGCTGAGGTCTCCGAACTAAAGGTGGACATAGTAGAAAGATTCTTGGTGACACTGGAGTCACACACCAGCTTGAGCAAGAAGCAGCGAGACTTCTGAGCCCCAGAACTTGGCACTAAAACTGGCCCTCTTTCCCATGCCTTGATATTCCAACGTCTGCTAAGCTCTCCAGCCTGCTTTTTCTACTCTTTTAGAAAAATGAGTTCTTAAAAGATAACTTCTATCCCCCTAGTAGTTCAGCTATCTTATAGCTAGTCAATTCATTCATGTGTTTGTTTTTTCAGACATTCATTCATTGAATACACATAGAGCAAACACTATGTATAAAGTATAGATAGAGCTTACATTGAGAAGCAAAAAATGGGTACAGCAACTGATTGCCAGGGAATTAATATTCAAGGTGAAGGGTCACTAATACATGGATCCCAATCACAGAAGAGAAAGGGTTGCAGAAGAGTTACTGCAGGAAATAAGGGGAGGGACAGTAGGGGACACTGCACCGGAGATGTGACCCATGGAGCCAGGCTCTGCAGAGGACTCAGTGTGAGGATGGAGAGAAAAGAAACTTTATGTGGTGACATGGCCGGAGGCAAAGACACAGAGGAGAGGGAATGCAAGGAAAAAAAGAGGGGCCCAAAGCTATAAGCTGCCACTGAGTAAGATAAGGTCAAGGTGGTAGACTGGGACTGCATGTTGACCCACAGGTCAGATGGGTTAGATTTGGGGATGCTAGACCTTTTCATTTTTTATTTTGAAAGTCTCACTAAGTTGCCCAGTCTGGCATTGAACTTGCAATCCTCTTGCTTCAGCCTGTTGGGGAGCTGGGATTATAGATGTGTTCTGCAATGCTCAAGTAGAGGGGTTCAATTTGGGGGGGTGGTCTTTTTGAGACAGGGTCTCTCTATGCAGTTCAGGTTGGCCTTCAACTCACTTTGTAGCCCAAGCCAGCCTCAAACTCTCAACAATCCTCCTGCCTCAGCCTCCCAAGTGCTGGGATTACAGTTGTGCACCACATCTGGCAAGAGGTTGGATGTTATCACATTACTAGTAGAGAGCCAAGGAAAGTGTCCGAGCAGCATAGTAACAGTCAACACTGTGTTTTAGATCTGAGGAAGTGGGCTTGTGTGTCAAGTAGCCCATATATTGAACCCAGCAGAAAAACAATTGTTTCTTTGAACTTAGTGGGTAGGCTACTTGGCCCCTTTCTCTTTAAAGGTCTCTGTCTTTATGGCATGTGCTCTGCTGACCTCTGTCCACCCTGCCAGACAGAAGCACATACTCTTTCCCATTCCTCTGACCCAGATAAAGGGGAGGGAAAGACCCCATTTCTCCTCTATATTCTCTACAGCCTCAAAGTCTGTGCAGCACTAACACCCAGAGAAAACCTTTCTACACAAATGGTAACCACGGCATGAACTTGAAATTCAAGCTCAAGGACCCAGATTCCACACATAATGGACATGGCTGGAATGAGCTCATAATCACCCCGAGGGGTGGTTTAGGAAGTCACAGAGGAGGCGGGTGGATCAGAGGCTGAGGACTAGCAAATGCGCTACTGATCTTTAGGAAAGGATGAGTGAGTGCTTTTGGAAATTGCCATCTGGTGGGCCTGCCACTGGTTCTTAGAAAATTAATGGAACAGATGTTAGGAAAACAAATGTGTGAATGCCTCTAATGAAGCCCTGATTAATAATTGGCCTTCAAAGAAGAAATACTGCCAACTATTCCCTAAGTCATTTTAGAGAGAACAGAGAGGAATCAGGGATAGCGTTTTCTTTTCTTCTTCTGGTGCTGGAGATGGAACACAGGGCTTCAGGCAGGGTTAGCATGCATTCTACCCTGGGCTACACCCCTGGCCCTGCTGATAGCGGTTTAATGTGCAAGTTTACAAGTTGATGAATCTGGACCTTAGTAAGTTAGTTGGACTGATGAGCCTCACAAGGACTGACAGTTGTGTCTGGAAGGAACTGTCATCAATCTGGTTTCAGTTATACTAGCAGCTCTGGTCACTGTCTGTGAGACAGAATAAAGCGTAAATTAGGGCGAAATGCACCTTGCTTGAAAAAGGAGAGTAGGAAGTGACAGCTGCCAGGGAGGAGAGCCAAAGGCACTAGGAAGCCAGGAGATGCGAAAAGGCTAAGCACGTTCTCAGGACACTTTAATGACCATCCGTCCCTGGTTTCTTCCAGCCCATCAATCATATACTGAGATGCAGGAGCTGGGGATTTAGCTCAGCGGCATAAGTGCCTGCTTTGCAAGCATGTGGTTGTGAGTTCGATCCCTGGTACCGGTAAAAATACAAAAAATATATATATATATATACCGAGATGCACTGAAGGGGACTCCTCTTGGTGAGAATTTTAAGGAGGAATTGAAAAGAGCCTTTTTCTGCCTCTAGGATTGCCAATAGAGTGAGAAAGGACATTCAGAGTTCTCCGGAGGAGAACCCTTTCAGATGAAGAAATTCATTTCCAAAAGAGTCTTGGCCAGGGTCACTCATGAGTTAACTGATGCAAGCCAACTGGCACCAGCAAGCAAAGCTCAGATGTAATCATTACTTATTTAAAAAAAAAAAAAAAAAAACTGCCCCGGAGAGAAACAAAAAAATGCACATATGATCTCCTTGACAACTAAGCCTGCCAAATAATAATGATATTTTAAATAATTTGTGGCATGAATCGGAGCACAAATAAACAAACATTACATAATGGAACCGCTTTATATTTTCTAGAACATTTACTAACTCATCAGACTTTCCAACAGTCCTTAAGGATATATAAAATTAAGCATTCTACAAATGAGAAAACAACATCAGAAAAGTTAAAAGACTTTCCCAGCGTCACTCAGCTAGTAGGTGACAGAAGTGGGATCTGAGCCTAGGTCTTCTAGTCAGGCCCCACTTACTGAGGAAGGGACTCTGCAAGTTGGAGGAAACCTGGGAGATCATCCAGTAGTGGGACGGTTTCATCAACAAAACGTGGCAGGAATCTTCCAAATGGGCCTAGAGGTTCAACCTAGGCCTCAGACAAGAGCCAAAAGCCAGTCTGTTTAGTGATTCTTAAACTGTGTTTCTGCAGAACATGAGCACTGTTAGGAGTTGGACTACGGGTACTGCTTTTACAAATTAAATTATGAGCAGTTTTTTCCATTGCACAGAAACACAGATATTGATAGATGCCTTGTTCTCTGCTTTGTTTTAGGGAGCAAGTAAAGAATAAGCAAGCCAAAAATATGTATTCGGTATATTCATGAAAAAAGCAGGAAATAGTGTGTTTAGTTAGCTACCTTTTCAGTGTTTCCCCCCACCATCACTACTGTGGGTTTCGGTGTAGGAAATACACACATTAGCGTGGTTGTGCTCTTCTACTTTGGTTGTATAGCAGAACCACCTGGACAGCTTTAAAACCAGGTGAAGTCTGACCCCACTCCCTAGTGAATCTGACTACACTGGGTGGGTCCATGGCAATTTTTTAAGAGCTCTCCAGATGATTCTAACAAGCAACCAGGGTTGAGAACCGCAGTTTACAGTGTTCTGCTAAGGATGATATTCTAGAAGTTTGAGAAACCAATGCTTTGAAGGACTTCAACTTCAAACAGAAACACGTTTAAGTGAGTTAGATGGATTGTGTAGCCCGTGCAATATGTTTACAGTCTTTGAACCCGAAGCCCATAAACACTTTAAGCCCATGTTAAGAATTAGGAGATTTCTTAGAAAGATCCAGATTTTCTGCTTTTCTGGGAAATAGTAAGACTATGGTCCAGTTGGTCCTACATTTCTGTATACAAAAATCAGCAAGAGCTGAAGAGTGGCTGTCTCTTTCAACAGGTCACAGGGTCCTGGACCCTTACCCTCTTCCTAGCCCACACAGCTACTTTCTCCATGACCCCAAGGGCAAGTGTACTGTCCACTTTATCATGATGCCTGGCTTTTCTTCAAGATCATATGCATCACTGGCCTGTTATCTACAGTCACCTCTGTTTGCAAGTCTTCTAAGAAAAAGTTTTGCTCTGGCTCAGTGAGTCTTTAAGCTTGTTGAAAACACAAGATTCCCTAGAAGCCCAGCCCCACAGATTCTGATTCTGTAAGGGTGAAGTGAGACAGGGGAATCCACACTTGGAGAACTGCTGTGCTGCTGGGTGCAAAGCATTACCCCTTGGGGTACATGAGCTCTTCAATATGAAACGTCCTTTAGTTGCACACTCTACAGTCAGCCACCAGGAAAGGAAAGCTAAAACACCAAGTTTTCTCTTTACTCAAGAATTCTGAGAGGGCTGGTTGTCTTTTCACTGCCCTGGTCTGAAAACCAGAGTCTTCCACCAGACACAGATAATTCTAAGCCAGAAGCTAAAGTAACACCTATGCTGATGATATCTTGGTAAGATGGATGACCAAGGAAATAAAAAGACTATCTCCTCTTGCCGTGTGGGTAAAGCAAAGTCCTACTCACTTCCCATTGCAAAATCATGGAGAATTATAAAAGGATTACAGAGTCTTGCCTGTACACCCCAGCAGAGACTCGGGTCATCCAGATGTAGTTTTAGAATTATTCTAGGTGAAAGGAAGTTTAGAGATCATCTCCAGCATTACAGATGAGGAAATTGAGGTTCAGAGAAGCAAGTTTTACATGGCTGCTTAACTGGCTTAAAATTCTTCGTTAAGTAAAGAAAAGTCTTTCATTGAATTTAGGAGAATATTTGTGGCAACCAGGATATTTAACCAGGATGAATCTCCTGGTTAAGAAAAAAATGCAAAGAGCTAAAAACAAATCCAGTTATCCCTTTGTGAACTGCCACCTGAGTTTCTAAGGCAACAGCTCCAGTCCCCTCCTGCTAGGGTCAACATAGGATCCATTTGTATCATACATCAAAGTTCTGTTGAGGCCTACAGGTGACAGGTAGACTAAAAATGTGTATTTCACATGTGCCATGGTGCCTGCAGCATGCATTCTGCCTCAGGTCTAGGTTAGAGCCCCTGCTGTTTTTGAACAAATTATTTAACTGACCCAAATCTCAGTCTCCTTATCTATAAAGTAGGGAGCTAGCACAGAACCAGATGATGGGCCCTTCTCTCTGCTTTCGACCATATCAATAGAAATTATTGTTTCTTTCACTTTCCATCCTGTTGTTCTGCCCCATCTCTTACTGTCACTTCTCTCAGAGTGACCCATCCAGTCACTAGGAAGGTGGCTAGGAAGGATAGAATGTAAAACAGAATGACACTCACTACCCTACACCCCCCACCCAGCAGAAGCTCTGGCAGAGACCCTGCCAGCACCACCCCATCTACCCCCAGGAGTTAAGAAGAGGTTTGCCTCCCTCACACACCTCTGATGATGGCTCTCTGGCTCAGCATCTGGTGGGCATCTTCCCACTGCCTTCTTTATAATTAGTGTGCCTTGTGCATCATGGGCCAGCCCAGCACTTGACCAGTTGTGGAGCAGGCCCAGGTTCACATCTGCTCAACCTCTGTGTCATCTCCAGTAGAGGTCTGGGCCTGTTTCCTGCATGTACCTGTGAGCATCTGTGACCTTTCTTTGTCCTTGTAGGCACTGGCTGTCCCTCAGCATTCTGAACAGGTTCCTGCTCACTGTGACGAGTCAGCCAGAATCCTGCTCTGGAGCCCCATGGCCACCCCTTGTGCCAATCATAAGGTCTTGGTACTGCAGCCTGGAAGCTGCCTGGCATGTGTGGAGCTATACTCTAAGTCTTTGCAAGGCCATCTGCCTTTGTGTTCTTTTGAGTCTTTGCACAAAAATCAAAACACACACACACCTGAATGGCCTGGCACCTATGCGGCTCATTCATTCTCAGTTGAGGAGTCCAGGAAGTGGTCCTTGTGACTCATAGTCTCTTTTTCCCTTGAACTCCTCCTCCTGACCCAGGTCACAGAGGTCCACGTCTTGCCCTCTCACCCTGGAATCTCCTTAGACTTCTCCTGCCAGCCTCAGATTTTCACTCTCTTCTGACATTTGTGGCTACACCTGTCTTGGTTACTTGCCTTCGTGGGTGACCTGGGAACTGAGGATCCAGCCATCCAGCTGCTGAGTACTCCGGGAATTGCAGACTCCTGGCAGATCCTGAGCCAGCCCCAGCCCTGAGGACCCAGGACAGGGAACCCTATCTAGCTCAGCCTCAGCCTCCTGCCTCCCCCCTTCCCCTCCTGCCATAGCCACATCCTAAGGAAGGGCGCTCCAAGCAGCCACAAAGCACAGTGGGAACCTCTCGCCAGTAACCACAGGCTGCCCCTCCTGGATGGCCCAGCTCCAAATGAGGCCTTTTGTACCTCTATCCAGAGCTATCCTCTCAAGGGCACCCACTCTTGTCCCTTCTCCTTTTGACCCCTGCAATTCACCCCTCACTCTGTGGGCTCTATCCCATCTTCCCATCCCCCACTGGCACTGCCCACTGTCCACCTCCCAGGTGGGCCTGGTCAAGGTAGCCAGGGCAGCGAGGACACCTGCTGTTAGGAAAAGCAAACAGAGCTGCTCCCAGAGCCTGGCCCACAAGTGGCTCACATTCCTCTTTCCTGGGCTGTCAGTTTCTCAACATCTGCCAAATTTCTCTCTCTTGTATTGAGGTTCTAAAATCCCCATTCAGTAAACACACATGACTTCCACACGTGTACAAACATACACAGACGTCTCACCCAGAAGCTTCCCAGCTCCTCTGCACAGACAGGAGCCTCCTGGGAAGTCACACTCCCCACCAGACACACATCCCCACTTCCCCTGTAGCCACCCCTCCCGGTGACACGCAGCAGTGAAGGGCTGCCAGCCCTCCTCTGCATACCCGGGGCCACGACCCTGCTTTCCCACATCCACCGGCCCAGGAGGCCCCATCTTGTGTACAGGCATCTGCCTACTGTTCAGCACAGGAGCCCACATTGTCTGAGAGCCCGTGGCCTTGCGCACACATGTGCCCACATTCTCTTCCAGCTCTCGTGGGTCACATGCATGGGTTTGAGCAAAGGGCCCAAGCACCAAGAAGATATCCCTTGCCCTGTCTTCTGAATGCTTCACAGACATTAATTTGGAGCAGGTACTCTGTATCCCGAGGGCTGGAAAAATTGAAATGGGGGACGTGTCACAATGAGCTGTGAAAGATGGGGGAAACACCACCTTGTCCCAGCTCATAAAGTTGTTAGGGCTGCTGAGAGAGAGAGCTGGCTTGTCCTTTGATGGCACCCAGATGCTTACAGTCACTCATATGGTGGCATGTTTGAGAACACATATGTTTCCCCGGGCAGCACAATGTAATCCAAACTAAAATCAGTCAAGGATGTGATGTGAGTTCAGCACAATGCTTGGCTCCCAAAGTGCCTAGGGAGGCTCTGTCTCTTTCTCCACCCCTGGCCCAACTTTGCATCCTACCCCTGAGCCAGGCGCTGGTGAGTCCCTGGACACCCTGCTGCGTGGCCACTGCAAGGCCCCCTCCCAGAGCTCCCTAGTCCGGTCCACCCCTTCCAAGGTTGACACCCCATGAACATTTGGACTTACTGTGCTCTGCCAGCCCCTGGATCATGTCGAACTTGTGGATCTCTTTGGCATAGTATTCTGATTCGGTGTTTTCCTGAGTGCAGCCTTCCTCCTTCTCCCCCTGCATCTCTTCCAGCAGCTCTCGGGTACTGTTATACAGAGCCAAGACTTGATAGGGGACGTGGGTCATCACTGATGGCTCAGGGGGGCTGGTGAGCCTGAGCTTGCTCAAGATCTGTCCCCTAATGGCTTCCACCCTCTTCTTCTTAATGTGGCCAAAGTCCAAGGTGGTGCAAGTGGACAGAGAGAGGCTGACCGTGGCAAAGTTCAGCAGGGCCAGGACCACCAGAGCCCTTTGCAAGTGCATCTTCATGTGCAAGCCAGGTAGAGAGGCCAGGGGGGTGGTGAGGCCTGGCGAGGAGGAGACCCCAGCAGACGTGCAGAAAGAGGGAGAAAAACCAGGCAGCCTCCCCAGATCCCAAAGACTGAGGCTTGGCAACAGGGTGCATGAACTCACTGCACTGCGAGAGCTTCAGGACTTCCAGGAAGCGCTGGCAGCCCTGAGGACGAAGAAGCAGACTGTGTGCCTTGTAGCGCTGGGATTCTTGTCCATGTGTCTAAACAGGTTTTGCTGGGCTCTGACTCCCAGCAGCCCAGGTGGAGGGCAAGGAGAGGGCTGGGAGGGGTGGCCAGGCAGCTGGGAGTGGGAAGGGAGCTGGAGATTTTCCTTAGGTAAAAATAAATAGAGCAGATATCTGATATTGCCAAACAGCGTTTGGCGATGGACAGAAAGTGGGTATTTTAAAGAAGGTGCAGAAGGACCATGGCTAGGTCCCAAAATCAGAATCCTCGTCTTGCCCTGAAGGAGAATCAAAAAAGAGAATGGAAAAGAAAAGGGAAAAAAAAGTTTAAAAAAATCAAATCACCAGTGAGTTGGTTGGGAGAGGCAGGTCTGGGCAGCTGCTGGCCAGGCTAAAGGTGGGGGCAGTACAGGACACACTTGTCTCTCGGGCACTCCATTCATGCTTTCCCTTTTGTTTACACTTCCTCGGGGGTTTCTAAATGACTTTGTTCACGCTGCCTCTCGTCTTCATTGGCTGGGATGTGGGGTTATGTGCAACTGGAAAGCAGGCAGGCCAGGCCTCTGGAGAAGGGCCCCAATAATCCACTTGAACACCCACGGTCACCAGCGCCTCAGCTTGTCTTCTCCCTCGGCCATGGCTTCTGTCCCTTGCTTCTTTTTTAAAAAACCAAAAGGAAAAGAAAATAGAAGCCAGTTCACTGCAGCCTGCTCCGGAAAGCGGTTATTCCTTCGTTCCCATGCGTGTCTTCTCCTAGCTCTCGCCTCTTTCGCTCCTTGCCTTGAACTTGGCTCTCTGCTTCCCTCCCTTTCTCTCCTCTCTCTCTCCTTCTCGCTGCTCTCCCTCTCTCACACACACACATGCACACACACTGCTTTCTCTATTTCCCTGCTGAAATTTTATACCTCCCTCCCATGACGTCTCGGGCCTGGGTGGGGGAGGGAGTGGGGGGGAGGGACCAGCGCACGCAGCCTCTTTTGCTGCAAGATTTTTAATGTTTTAAACAGGCACAGGAAGAGCCGAGCCCGTTTGAAAAATACTTTGCGAGCTCTCTCGTTCGACGTGGTAACTGAACTTTTTTCCCCTCTTGGAGTCACTCCGGCTACACGTTGGCTGTTTTTCTGGAAAGTTACTCGGCAAGCCCCCTCCGTCCCTCCCTTCCTCCCTCCTGCCCGCTCCCCCGGCCCCTCCGCGCTCCAGCCAGCTGTCAGTCCGCGCCGTCCCAGCCCCCGTGCCTGGTCCACCCGGCTCAGAACGGGCACCGGGCAGGGTCCGCGAGGACAGCAGTGCCACCCTCGGTCGGGGCAACGCCCGGCCTGCGAGCGGGGCCGGAGGGTGGGACTGGGCGCCGCGGCGATCTTGGCCGCAGTTCTTCATTGACAAGCCTGGAGTTCGCGGCTGGCTGAAGCTTGGAGCCGCTCCAGGGCTGGGAAAAATGGTGGCGTTTTCCGGAAGATCGAGGGTGCCCCCTGGCGAGCCCTGGCCGCCAGTGAAGGAGGCTCGCCGCGCGGGAGCCGGGAGGCTGGAAGGCCGGGCCTGGGGGCTGCGGGAGAGAGGGCGAGGAAGATAAACCGGCGCCCTGGGGAGTCGCCCGCCTCAAGGTCCCCCTTCGCTGGCGCGGCGATGTCATCCAGATGTTGGCCGCTTCCCTCCCTGCCGAGGGCTCGGCGGGGAGCTGCGCCGGCGAGCGCAAAGTCAGCAATTGGCAGGAGCCCATTTCCCAGACGGGTGAGGAGAAGTTTGCGCTCCGTTCTCTCGTTGCCCTTCTCAGCGTGGGCTTCTAGGTCTTTTCCCACAAGCAACTTAGGGAAGGCAAGATGTGTGTGCTACCCTACCCCTCGCAGGATTTTGTTCTGAATTGGTCACTTTCTAAGTAGGACAGGTCCCCTATCCCCCATCCCAGCCCTCCAGCCTTCCTGCACCCTTCCTGAGGGTCCTGGCTCCTAGGCCGCTATGAAGGAATATTAATGCATTTCAGGGAGAGTGGTGTTAGTATTGAGGAAACTGAGGCACACAGACCTTTTGTTTTGTTTTTAAGGCTATATTGCTTGTGAGTGGTGAGGGTGACATTAATGGCAAGTTGTCTGGTTTGGATAGGCATCGTTTTAATTTGCATAACCCAAAGAGGAAACTGAGGTATAGAAACCTTAAAAGTAACTTACCCAAGGCCACATACCTATTAAGTGTCAATACTAGGATTTTGGCCCAGCAAGTTCATTGCCAGAGTCTATGCTACAAATTTGAGAAATACTTTTGATATTTAGTAAGTGTCAAGCACTGTTCTAGGCTCTGTGGATATATCAGTGAACAAAACAAAACCATTGTGTTCACGCACCTTACATTTTAGAGGCAGGGGTAAACCAGTGCAAGAGGCAATAAATACATAAATATGTAAATTATGTAGTATGGTAATAAATATGTGTCAAGGAGAAAAATAAAACGGGAAGAGTACCTAGGTTGAGGGAAAATACTGTGATCAGGGCCTTTGAGCTAAGGCTTGCTAGATAGGAGGAAAAATTATTAAAGCTCTACCCTTCTGGGGATACAGTCTACCTCTACCAAATCAGAATCTCTAGAGATGGGGCCCTGCCATCTGGGTTTTTAAACACACCTCTCACGTGACACAGGTGCCCAGCAGTGCTTGGGAGATCCTCCTGCAGGGCATCTCTCTACCTGGGGTGAGTGCCATTCACCTTTCCTTTTCAGGAAGTTGGAAGACAGAGCATGAGGTTCTGGAAAGTGACTGTAAAGTGGTGGTGGTGGATAGCTGTGAGCTCACAGAAATGGAAAAGTCTAGAGATCAAACCCTCTTACCTCATCTGGGACAAAGGTAGAAGGGAACAAGGGACTCCCTAGAGCCTGTGTCTCAGATTTTTGGCAATGAATATTTCTTCAGGTTAAAATCTTAATACAGTATTCACACCGAGAAGTAGTTAGTAAAGGACCTTACCGGCAATCTCTAAGATAGCACTTTTTTTTTTTTTTTTCCCTTTTTATCAGTACCGGGGATCAAACTCACGACTGCCTGCTTGCAAGGCAGGTGCTTATGCCACTGAGCTAAATCCCCAGCCCCAAAGATAGTACTTTTAGTACAACGGAAGAAACTAAAGCAGAAGAAGCACTCTGCCTTGGCCACACAGTTACCAGTAGAGATGGGATATGAAGTCAACTCTTACATCCAGGCCGGTGCTCTTGCTATCACCTGGCAGGCTAACACTCAGTCCTACAGTCAAGAGAGATGAGCACTGTTTTTTTGTTTTGTTTTGGTTTGGGTTGGGTTTTGTTTTTTTGTGGTTTTTGTTGTTTTTGGCTTTGTTTTTTGAGACAGGGTCTTGCTATGTAGTTCAGGCTGGCCTTGAACTCACTATGTAGCCCACGCTGGCTTCAAACTCATGGCGATCCTCCTGCCTCAGCCTCCTGAGTACTGGAATTACAGGCCTTTGCCACCACACCCAGTTTGAGGGATGATCATTGAACTGTGTACTTTACTAGGTATTTGAGAAATGTTTATAATCCAGTTTTAGGGACACTTTCATTTCCAAGCCCTCATGTTTAACCCACAGCCATCCACATTTTACTGTCAGCATAGTGGGGATGTTGTTCACTTTTAGGGCCAATAGTCCAACGTCTGTGGGCCCCAGGAACCTGGTGCCAGGGATCTGGTCAGTGGTGACTTGGGAATCTTATATGGAATAAGTCCACGAAAAATGAGTTGGCTGCCCTATTAGGCTGGGAATTTGTGGGACGTCTCCCTCTGCCGGCCTAGGAGAATGGCTGACACCAGCAGTCGGTGCCAGGCAGAATCCACAACAAAGTCTGGTGTCAGAAGGGGCCCTAGCTCAGCTATTTAGTGCTCAGGTGATTTTCCCCAAGTCACTTCTTTGCACCTCAACATGTTCAGTTTTAAACAAAGCTATTATTCCTACTTGCTGTGTGGGATTGTTGAGATTAAATACGATATTGAATATTTATACCTATGAAAGTCATTACTACTCAGATATTTGATGTTTTGGTTTAGCCTTTCAATAAACTTATTAAAAATGGAGATTATATACACTGCATTTTGTAACTTATTATGAATCATTTATTACACCTGATCTCACCTATCAAATGAAAAGTATACAATTTATCTCACTTCCGTAAGGGTTGTTATGCTTTAAGGCCCTCTGAATATTGCGAAGATCTGCACAAATAGGAGAGATCACTATTATTAACTATTATTAACACTAATGCTTTGTATTCATTGATGTATTTAAGCAGAAGTACAAATGCAGGCAGTTCCAAAGAACTAACCTTTTTCATGGTTATGCAGGAGTTTCAGCGGGTGTTCATATCTGGAGGGTTCTTCCACAACTCAAAACAGGTTTAGGAACAATTCGATTTAAATTGGAGGGTGGCACACGTACTCTAGGAATAAGGAGGCGTATCCTTTAAATTTTGAGCTAGAGGGCGAAGTCATCGTCAAGGACGCGTTTAAGGTACTTGGTTTCCAGGAAGTGACGTCAGGCGGCCGCGGCGATGGACGAAGTGCTGGATTTGCGCGAGGAGCGGCGCCGAGCCTCGGCCACCTCTGTGAGGACCGATGCGGGGGGCTTGCGGCCCGGGTTCGGCGGGTGGGAAGGAGCGGCCCCGCTGGCCCAGCTCCGGTGATGGCCTCTGCCCGACCCGTTCCTGGCGGTGGGGCGGGCCGAGCGGCGCCGGGCTGAGGTGGGGAGGAGGCGGTTACTTCCGCCCCGCCCGCGGGGCCGGGCGCGAGGGTGTTGCCGCCTCTTCGCTTGAAAATCTCCAAAAAGTAGAAAACAGACCCTTGTTTCCGTCGCCCCCTGGGATCGGGAGAAATTTCCGAGCCTTTCTGCTTTCTCTGGAGCCCCAAACGCAGGCTCCCTGCGAACAGACATGAGAGAGACTGGGGTGGCCTCCCGGCCAGAGCCTCACTTGGCACCCATCCTAGAGTTTTCCCCTGGGACTTCTCTTTCCAAATGTTCCTGCGAGAGCTGCTACGTTTTATGCACGAAAGGGAGGTAGCCAGGGACGGCCTTTTTTCCTAATCCCTGCAGGGAAGTGGGCATAACCTTGTGTTTACAGTTGGAAATCTAGATTCTGATTTATTACGTGGAGTAGTGATTAGGTGCTCAGTCCTTGAGGTCAGATGGAAATGAAGCAATTGGTAGGTTAAGAAAAAAAGAATGATTTCTCCGAGCCTCGGTTTCTTTATGCCAAGAACGGAGACGTTGCTTGGGTAATGCATGCAGAGCATTTCACACGGCACCTGGCATGTGCCCAGGGCTGTGGTTTATCCCAGAATATAGTAGGTAAATAACATAGCTTGACCCAATATCTAAGTTCAAGGTTTTTCTTGCTCCATCCCAACTCCCTTCAGGCCTTTCTAACTTTTAAAATTAGTTAAGATTGCAATCACTGAATGTTTTGGGCCACAGGGCAAGTCTTTAGTTTCTGTTCTGAAACTTTTTAAGTGTTTTGAAGTGTCCTGGTAGCATTGGCTGTCTTCCAAAGTACTAGAGAGAAGGACCTCTCCAAGGGAGGTAGGAAGGAGGGAAGCAAATTGGTCTAGAAGGAAACAGGCTGCTTGACTAAGGAGAAACTGGTCACCAGGCCTTTCTGATGTGAAAACTTTCCTAGTACCTGGTGATGTGAATGTAGTTCATTTATCCTTTCCTTTCGCAGATGTGTATTGAGCTTTCCCGAGTGGAGATACTTCAGTGACTAAAACAGCATGGGGCTTACAGCCCAGTAGGGAAGATGGACATTAAGTAGACTGTATTTTAAAAATAGCTGAAATCAGTTGGTAAAATGTTTTCTTTTCCTTTTAAAAACAAAGCAAATTTGTATTACTTGTACCCTTTTTCTGTTTTTTTCTTTTTGTCCTTAAATTAAAAAAAAAAAAAAAAAAGCAAAAAAGGATAAAGAATGATACAGATTTTTTTTTGTACCGGGGATAGAACTCATGACTGAAGGCTTGCAAGGCAGGCGCTTAAGCTGCTGAGCGGAATCCCCAGCCCCTATAATACAGAATTTTTTAAAAATAGGAAATTAACACTAGTTAATATATTGCATAATGTTATCTTGAAAATAGTTGTTAAGATTACAAGATTTAGGAATAAAAAATGATCACTCAGACAATGAAAACACACTGTTCTTTTTGATGAACTAACACAGATTAGTAGTATAGTTGTTCATCTTGGATATATTTCCATACACACATATATGTATACATATATATATATAATTTTTCCATTCATTCTTTTCTCCTTTCCCTTATCCCAGTCATTCCTTCCTTTTGAGCACTTTCCTCCTCTTTCATTTTCACAATATTTATTGTACATTTTGGATTCTATTTCCTTTTTTTAATTTACACTAGGGAGACAATACAATATTTACACATGCAAATCTGACTTATTTTACTTATTCTCTAGTTGCATCCATTTACCTATAAAAACCTCATTTATCCTTTATAGCTGAGTAATACTCCATAGTATAAAAGTACCACATCTTTTTTATCCATTCCACGGTCGACGGGCATTTGGGTTGTTTCCGATATTTAGCTATTACAAATTGTTATGCTAGATACATGGGTGCACATATATCACTGTGGCATGATGTTTTCAATTCTCCTGGAAGATACCTGAAAGGGAATAGCTGGATTGAATGGGACCTCCAATCCTATTTTGTGCCACACTGATTTTCACAGTATTGCACCAGTCTACACTCCCACCAACAGTGAAGAGGGGTTCCTTTTTCCTCACAGCCCTGCCAACATTTGTTATTGGATGATTTCTTGATGACAGCCATTCTTTTGAGTGAGACAGAATCTCAGTGTTGTTTTAATTTGCATTTCTCAAATAACCAGTGATGAACATCTCTTCATATATTTATTTGCCATTTGTATTTCTTCATCTGAGAAGTGCATGTTCATCTCAGAAGCCCATTTTTGGATTGGGTCTTTGAATATGGGGGGGCCTGATGTTTTTCAACTCTTTATGTGTTTTAGATGTAAGTCTTTTGAGGGACAGTTGGCTAAAATTTTTTCCCAGTCTATGGATTTTCTTTTCACTCTGTTGGTGATTTCTTTTGATATGCAAAAACTTTTTAATAAGATGAGATCCCAGTTGTTGCTTCTTTGTAAGCACTTCCTGTACAGTTTTCATTTTGTTCATGAACTCTTTGCTTACCCCTCTGTTTTCAAGATTGCTACCTACCTTGTCTTCTAGTAGATTTCATGTTTCTGCTCTAATGTTTAGATCTTTGATCCATGGTAAAGTGGTTTTCTACCCAGGGGGTTTATAATAGGTCTTCAGAAAGACCTCTGTACACTTGGCAGACTTAAAATACTTACCTTATATCCTTAGAAAGACTTCAAATACTTAACAGTGATTAAAGAAATCACTAGTAAGCACCATTTGGAGACAAGATCATTTAATTGTTGTTTGAGTGCAATCATTCTACATAGTATACAGTATTCAGAATCCCTTATACTGCAGTAAATGCAGGAGGGCAACCATGGGCGAAGGGACAGAATTATCTGCCTTGAGAAGAAAATGAGTGGCTTGTTATCAGAAAGGTTGTTTCTGTCGTCCTTGGAAGCTAAACCATTGGCATCACAGTTTGAATTGTGAGCCCTGGGTAAGAGTTCTCATGCAGCTCCTCTCTTTCATCTTACAACACCTTAAAACAAATTTCAGCAGGGCATAGTGAAAAGAACACAGGATTTGAAGTCAGAAGACTGCGCTTAATCACTTTTGTAGACCTCAGTTTCCTCATTTGTAAAATGATGTGAGTCTCAGGTCTTGTCCATGTCATTGTGAGGCTCAAAGTCATATTTAATGAGATGTAAATGTGCTTATAGGACTGGGGATTTAGCTCAGTGGCATAAGTATCTTCCCGACAAGTGTGAGGTCATGAGTTTGATCCCCAGTGCCAAAAAAAAAAAAGTGCTTATATCAATGCTGCAATTTTTAAAAAAGTAAACAACCAAAACCATATATTTCAACACCCACTAGCATGCCTCAGAGTTTCCTATCTATGTTGGGGAGTGTTTGAGATACAGCCTCCACCTCAGGAGGGCCATGGAAGATACCTGCAAATGGTTTATTTGATGGCTTGGCATTTTGAAGTGCTTTATTTCCAAAGTGATGTCCCAGTATTCTTGTAATAGATGTCCTGTAGTCTCTAAATGCAAACCCAACTAGTGTATTTATCAAAGTACATGTATTTTTATTTCTCTGTGTCAGTTGTCATGGAATTTTAGACATTCTTTCCAAAAGTCTGTTTGATAACTATTTTCAGTTTAAATTTAGGCCTTCCTAAAAATCCTGCTTAAGACTATGGAATCTTTTACAACCTCCATCCCTGAGTTGTGGTGTGTCTCTGCCCAGTTTAGAACCATTTCTGATTGCATTTTTTTGAGTAGAAAAGTGATTTTTCTTTTGTAATCCTATAGCCCTTTTAAAAATACTATGAATTTCTTACTATCTTACCAAGAAGAGCTGACTTCAAGTACTTTGCTTTTCAGGGTTTGGAACATTTTATATAAATGTATCCAAATTACTCAAATCATGTTTTCTCTCATGTCATCTTAAATCCAATCACTGTTCACCTCTTAGTGGCTTATGTAGGCTCTTGTCACGTAACGTAAACCATTGTCCTCCATGTGTCCTTTCAGGGCCCCAAGATGGGTCGCCGAGCTCAACTGGAATCTCCTCAGACTGACAATAACTTCAATGGCAAGAGTTCTTCATTGACTTCGGCTGGAGAGGTAAGTGCTAAAAGGGAAAAAGAAAATGTACAGAAATGCTCTCTAAAAGCTAGTGATTCCTTAAGAAGCAAAGATTTGGTATTCCGTATTTCTTCCCTTGAGTTCCAGCCCTTCTTATCTTGACTTGGGAATTCCCTTCCTTGACATTTGTCTAATTACCCACAAATGGAAGTAGAACATTTTGATCTTTGAGACCGAATCAGTTTTTGTGCATTTCTTTATGTTCTTAGGATAGAACTTTTTATGTTTGCTAATAAAAAGAACCAGAAAGTTTCAAAATGCAGTCGAAATCCAGGTTTTTATTTCTGCCAAATAAATGCCAGGGAACTTAAGGTTGGATTAGACTTCTGGACATTTGCTTTTAGTGGTGACCTGTACTTTCTGCAGATTTCAGGCAAGAATGCGATCATTTCCTGGCCTTACTTTTCTGGAAATTGTTCTGAGTGGCCTGAAAGTATTGGAAAGTGTCTAGCTTCTTTGTGAAGGATGCGTAACCCTGATGAACAATACTTTTTTAATGTCAGGATACTATTTTTGGTAGTTTACGCAAAGCCTCTTTTTATCTTCCCTTGTCCATTAGGGAAAAAACCCGACTTTCATGAGTCAGGCTGAGCCGGGCACTGTTGCATGACTGTAATCTCAGATGTAAAAGAGACTGAAGCAGGAAAATTACAAGTTTGCACCCATCTTGGGCAATTTAGCATGACCCTGCCTCAAAATTAAACATAAAAAGAATGGGGGAGGCAGCTCATGGTAGAGTGCTTGCCTAGCATATATAATACTCTGTCCCCTCTACTAGCTAACTTTTGTTTAAGGCTCCTTTTTCTCAGTTCCATGGTACCTGCTGTAGAGTAGGCCATATTATCTACTAATTGACTGCTTACGCATCTGTCTTGCTTGACAGTCCCCAGACAGCAGGAAACCTGACTTCTTGGTTATTTAGCTCACTGGTAAATAATACACTAACAACAGATGAAGGGCCCATGCCAAGAAGTTTAACGAGTCAGGCAGGTGTATGAGCAAAATGTGCTGAGTACATGACACAGACATCCTGTACTCACATATCAAATACAGAGGAATATTTTTTGGTCTCATAGGAAATAAGTTCACTATTTTCTAATGCTCTTTGTATGGCCCTGTCAGTTACCTTTCATTCTCTCTGCTTATTGTAGAATTGTGGGTATGGAGAATCTTTAAATTAAAAAGCACAACATTAATTTTGTCATCAAGGTGCAGAAACATGGGTCTGTTAGACCCATGTTTATACTTTAAAATATGTCTATTGATGAATTAGTAATTTTAGTTTTGTGAATTTTATTATATTAAACAATTAGTACTTAATAGGAAAAAATATCAGAAAAATACTAAATTTTTAATATTGTTTAGAAAAAAGCATCAAAATTTTCAGCATCAGTTGTTTTGTGGTGTCTAAAATAGTTGTCTAAAAAAAAACAACAGAAATAAATTTTTATATGAACTACAATGAAAATATCAATAGCACTTTACAAAAAACATAATCTTCAATTATGGCATCTAGCGCAATCTGCATATGTGACAACAGCATGTTTTAAATGCATGCATTGCTTACTCTGGCAGCACATGTGTTTTGCTTTCCTGCCCTTTTTGGAGGATGTATTTGACATCTCAAAGGTCTTGTTTTGTCAAGAAATTCTAATTATGTTATATAATTTGCAATTAACAGAAACATAAAATGTCAATAAAATAAAATATGAAATTCTTAATATGTATTTTGCATTTAGAGTAGACATCAACATTTTTACATCAGCTGCAGACTTGCTTATAAAACCTGAAAGATAACATCAGAAATAAATTCCTATACGAGCTACAGTGAAAATACTAATAGAACTCTACCATTAAAATAAGCTTTGCTTCAACTATCACACGCAAGGCAGTCTTCATCTGGCAACTGCAAATTCTGTGCACACATCTGACTTACACTGACAGCACATGTGCTTAGCTTTCCTTTCCTATGTGGCAGTTTTGTGACCTCTCTTTTCCCATTTTGTTAGATACTTCCTCTTCTATTGTACAACATGCACTTAGCAGGGAAATAGGCTGACAGTAAAATAAAATATCAAATAGGTAATGAATGCTTAGAATAGACATCACCATTTTCACATCAGCTCTGTACTTGCTTGCAAAACCTAAGAGATAATATCAAAAATAAGAACCTGTGTGAACTACAATATAAACACAAACAAAAGTCTACCACAGAAATAAGCTTTGCTTCAACTGTCACACCGAAGACAGTCTTCACACATGACAAATGTGTGTTCCATACACAAATATCACTTACACTGATAGCACGTATGTTTTGTTTTCCTGTGCTTTCTTGTAGTGTACAGTTGACATCTTTTTGATTTCCTGTTGTTGTAGAAGGTCTTTGTGTGTTGTGCCTGCCTGTTCACCTGTCAGTTTACCAAAGTACTCCATAATTTTTTTGCATAAATTCCCTGGGCAGAAACTTTTCTTTTTCCTCTATTATAAATGGTGTCTTATGAGCTCCAGTCCCAATCCTCTAAGGAAATTGCGGTATTTTACACTTGGTATTTTCTTTGTAACCTATTAAACTATGCCACATATGTTTAGGATTGAGCAAAATACAACCATTGGCCAATGTTTTCTGTCTCAAGTGACATCCATAGTTGCTGCATAACTTACCAACATCATCTACTGCACCTTTGATTTTGTTGTAGAAAGTTTCCATCTTAACCTTATGTTTAGTTGAGGTTTTCCTATATTTCCATATGGTGAAATGTTGATATTAGCAGTACCACCTTGTTTTTCTTTACCACATACGAGGCCAATGTTATATCTTTCTCAAATCCAAAGATTGTACTATGCAGTTCTGTGTTTTGAAATTGCACCATTTCATTTGGAATATCTGCTTTGTTCTTGCATACGATTCCTGTGCTGGTCAACTTGTGCTTTGTTAGTAAATGTAACATCAATTGGAAACTGGTAAACCAGTTGTTGACTGTTGTGTTCTAATTAGTTGGAGAGATAGGAACAACAAGTCTGTTTACAACATCATTTGGTTTATAACGATATGCATAAGAACCTGATGGATGAGTTCCAGGATAAATATCTAAATTAAAAGTATAATAAGTTTGCATCTACAGGGCGCAGATTTTTTTTGCCATATTTGACTCAGTGCTTTTCAGTAAGCCTTTTACATTCCTGTTATTACCATGAAAAATCCCTGGTAAATTCAGCTAGTGAGGTATCATAATAAATACACTTTTGAATATGGCTATTGGTACATACAGAATGCAAGTTTTACTTGCATTTCAGCCTTTGTGTATTTCATAGCATCTTGTAGTATTTCATCTGTTAAAATTTTTAGCATTGAATGGCAGTGCTGGCATTCTGTCTAATACTTTTCACTCCTGCCAAGAACCTCATTATATTTTCAGACCTAGTTCTAACATTGGGTGTTCCATTTGGAATTGTGGCCATTTTTTAATGTTTCATCAGGTCGAATGTGTTCTCATTGCTGTTTTCTATGTCATCCTAATCAAGGTCTGTATTCCCTGTGACTCTATTAGTGGATTCTTGCTCCATTTCACTGTCTCAGGAACTCTGGCTCATCAAAGTCATCATTACCAACATCACCATCTTCATACACCCACATTTATGTTATGAAAGCATGTATTTTACCATAATGGGCCATCTTCATCACTCATGCATGAATAATCTGGTGATTCACTTTTGACGTTCTCCAGAACTTGCAAATCTAGTTTTTCATGTGCCGGCATACTTCTATCCAAAAAGTAAGAAAAAAAATTTTTTTTGAAACAAATCCTGGAGTGGTGTGGACCCTCTGTGATGCTTGGGTAAACATGCGAAACCAGTTCCACTGAGCATACGGTGAGAAAAAAATCCATTTTGTTACTTTTGCACACATGCACACAGCTTGATGTTCATCAAACCAAGTAGGTAAACACATAGATTGCTTTCTATATCCTTCAGGGAAAGGTACTGAGATGAACACACAGCTACTATTACGCTAAGGACAAATTGACAGTAAAGTAAGGGATGGGACCATTGGACCCAGCTTTACATTCTAAGGATGACAACTGTGCTAGCACCCAGGTCTGACCATGGTGCCTGCCCATGGTCTCATTCCCTAGAAAATGCTAGGGAATGTGTCGAGTGCAGACCACAGGCCTCCCCTAATACTTAGCCAAAACTGGTTGATGCTGTGGGGAAATACAGAGTCAGTACTGGCAGGTCTGATATTTCACAAAATGTTGGCAATCTAAAATGTTAGATGAAAACAACACGTTTTTAGAGGTTAACAACTAATTATGAACATTAAGTTGCCATATGGGTTATTTGGGCCAGAAAGTTGTCAATTTGTTGCTTTGGCTTTGATTCTCGTGCTTTAGAACTTTTTGCATTGTATCCTAATTGTTCACGATCTACCTCCCTCATAGGATGTGAGCTTTTGGAAGGCAGGGTCTCTCGTGGTGCCAGGCACAGAAATGGATTTGCAGTTGCCACTGCCAATGGTGAGGTGGAAGAAGTGCATGGCATGTGATGTATTATACTGTAAAAGCTGAGGAAGAGCATTGCAGGGTGGGAATGGGCAGATAGTGCCCATGGAAGGCGCAGGTATGGGGGATGGTGCCCTAAAGTGAGAAGATGGTGAAAGAAGACCTGAGAGACCCCACTTGGATCTCAGGGACCTTAAACAGCAACAGTGTCTACCTTTAAAGAGAAAAATGTAGAAACAGTAAAGGGTTCTGGCTGCTTTGCACTGTTTCACATGGGTCAAGGAGAACCCCTTCCAACAGCAGAGCTTCATCCATTTATTCAGCAAATACTCCTTGAAGCTTATTGTGTGCCAGGCATCAGTTTAGAGTGTCAGTGTATTTCAGTAAACAAAGTTCACTTTGCCATAATAGAACTTCCACTCTTGTGTTCCTGGGAAACCGCAGCTAAAAGCCTACTTAATTGCAAACAAGATTGTAAGC